GCCGCTTGGGCAGCGCCGTGACCTGGAAACGCCGGCCTCGTCGGGGCTAGCTAGGCGTTTCGTGTGGTGCTGAAAACGCTCAGGGGGCACCTGTGCCAAAACTACGCTAACGCACCGCTGGAAGTTTGTGCTGATTAAGACGCAGACTTATTTCTGCTGCTGAGCGCATATCTCGAATAGAGAACTTGGAAGATAAATAATGGCTTGCAGTCTACTGCCAATATGCTACGTAGATGCTACTGTCATATATAGACTTTTTGTCACCTTAAAATAGAAATAAAAATCTAGATGATGCTTTAATAAACTGAGCAATATATGGTTTGCAGATGTGTGCAGGTTTCTAGTAAGTAAACATTACTATTTATAGCACTGAAAATGTAGATGGTATTTTGGGAAAATAGGTTAGTTTTGTACAAAGAAATGTAGACAGAATTCTACAAAATACAGATTTGTACAAGTAACTGCCTGAATAATAGGGATACATTGGTACGGTTACGCAGCATAGATTGTATTTAAATTAATGAGTAAGCTTGTGATCGAGCACGGCTTTGAGACCTGGAAGTTCTTGTGTTTTAATAGCTGTCATGGATACCAACTTCCTGTAGTTTTAAAGTAATTATTCTCAACTTAAGCAATTAAAATGTAAAGCATAATATAATTATTAACATATGTGAAAAGAATATGTATTTGAGAAGGGCTATGAGGCTCTGTGTGTTGCAAAACAAGGAGGAGGGGGTACTTCTCAAGAAATGCTGGCAGTTCAACCCCAGAAGATTAGTGAGCTGATAAAAAGGAATCATAAAAAGGGAAACTTTATGGGAGTAGTTGTAGTATCAAGGGAAAGAAATTTGGTGTGGGAGAAGTACTGTTCAAAGGTGTAACAAGTGACATAGGAAAAGGTTAAAATGGAAATAATATTATAAGAATAAATTTGTTTAGAGGAAGGTAACTTTCCAGAAGATTAATGGGTTTTGAGTTAGATTTTCTGTACATTTTCCTGGACAGAATAGCTCATACACCAGCAGGAAAGCTGTGGGTACAGTGATGTAGATTTTTGGGCATTGGTGAAAGCAACGTGGGGAAGTTGTGTGTGACTTTAAGGTATTGCTGTATGTAGGTTCTGCGATGCTCAAGAGGGTGTGAAGGTTGTCTTAGATTTCAGTATTTGATACTTGCTTTCTCTGCTCCCTCTTTAACATCTAGGGGTGAATGGAGGGTCTTGGAGAACTTAATTGTTCCTCATCATTCAGAGTGGTGGTGTTTTTAAAAAAAAAAAGGCAGGTTACAGGATTTTCCTTTTTAACCTTTTGTTTAATGAAAGCATCTAAATGGGACAGCACTGTTCTTGTTGTTTTCATTTAAATTTTTGAAGGTTTTGTTCCTTAGCATTCTTCCTTTGCCTCCTTAAATATATGATTGCTTTCTTCTGCTGTTCTCCATCCAGAATAGTAACTGACATTCTGCTTTGATCAAATATTGCATATTGAGAATTAAGGTGATGTCCAATTTTATAAATAGGTGAAAATCAAAATGCCTCTTGGGAGTGCTCTGCCATTTCTTATTGCTAGGATTACAGGAAGGGTTTTCTGTTGTTCTGTTTATATAAAGCCTCAGCAGAAATCACATGAGTTGCAGACAGGCAGCTAAATTGGTGAAACTGCCATTATGTGACTTATTATTTATATGCTTGAGGGTTTTCCTGATAGTTGGTTGTATATTGCCTCTGCTTATAAATGATTTTCCTCATTAGTGCCTCTCCAAATTAGCCTTTCTTTTCCCCAGTTTATTGTCAAGAACCGTGTTGGCGTTGTTTGGAGTGGCAAGCTTAGTGGCAGCTCATCTGTACATCACTGACAGTGGCTAGCTACATACCAAGGCTGAGGATGGACATGCACATTCTTCTCACTTCTCCTGAACCAAGATGAACACTAGATTGGGTCGGGTAATTGTAGGTTGGGAACAAGGAAGCAGACCAAGAGATGAAAACAGGCGAAAGCAGAGCAAGAATACCATAGTATTTGTTAGGTGAAAAGAAGCTATGTGGTGGGGAAAAAATGAAGTAAGAAGGAGATGAGGAGGGGAAATAAAATTACAGCAGAGAATAAGAAGGTAAACAGTTAAGCTTTGGGCTCTCCTCACTGTGTCAGCAACCAGCTTTCTCAGAACTCTATCTTGAGAACGTTTGGTCATCCTGTAGGTAGATACGGTCTCAAGTAACTTCAGATAGTACATGCAACTGCTCAAGTTGAGAAACAATAGTTAGAATACTAGTTTTCAAGTTTTCATGGATGCTTCCCTTTGTGTGGCCAATTACATGATTCCATTATTCCAGAATGAGAGTGATAACCTTGAGATCCAATACTGTGTATCAGCTGTGCTTGTGCAGTAGTAAAAGTTGAATTCACATAATTGTTTGTGACAAGTGACACATAATCAATTTGCTTAGAATGAAAATCTTTATTTACTACTTAGTACTAAGTGGGAATCCTTCTGAGGGTCTGTGGGCCATCATCACAGAAACACTTATACCTAAAAACTCAGATTAACGTTTGGATACATTGAGGAGAACTCACCTTTTGTGGTATTTCAGCTCCTCAAAATACAAGCTTCTTACCCCCACACTAGAGTATTGTTTTAAATACGCTAACAGTTGTGTGATCTTCTGTTTGTGTGTCCCAGTTGCCCTCATTCAAAACAGTTTTTCTGAAATAGCCCTCACTGAGTAAGGTGAGACTATAGAGGTAGTTTGTTAATTTGCTTAAAGGATTGCAATAACAGGGAGACTTAAGATGTATTGTACCTTAGATAAGTGTGCCATGTATTAAAAAAATGTCTTCCTAGTGGTTATGAAGATCTTGTTCATTAACAGAGCAAGATTCTTCTCTGTTCCTAGTCATTATTCAGTTTTTATTATGCCTTTTGGAGGTATTTTTGATATTGGTGTTAAGATCTTTATTTAGGGATACAGGTATAAAGACTACTTAAAAATAATTGATTCTTTGAGAGTGCTGCATCTGTATGTTCTTATCTGTGAGATGCTGGTTTGGCACCGCTTGAGTATTTTGAAATTCTGAAATAGTAGCATCTATTGGGACTACTCAAATTATTTTTGGTAGTACAAGCTTTTGGAACTAAACTTGCAATAAAACTGCTACCTCTTTTATCCACTGATTTCAAAGGAGTCTGGACGTACAACTTCGAGGTGACAGAGTGCAGAAGCCATACTTAAAAATGTTACAATTGTGAAGTCATCGCTTCTCTTTTGAAGTGTTTTTGCAGACTACCTCCATAAGCTTAACTTGCAGTTTAGCCTTTAGGAGATAGAGCCGAGGAGTTCCGCTTACAGAAGCATTACAGCAATGGTCTTCTAAGTAAAAAGGGAAAAAAAAAAACCCCCAAAAACCAGAATAATACCAACTTGAAAAAAGTAACTGTTGTGCAAAACAGTGTGGTAACTGTTCAGGCTTCCGTGATAGAAATGCAAGCAGAAGCAGAGTATTGAAACAAACATTTTAAAAAGTATGTTAGACCATGGGTTGTCTCTTGTGATGTAGAGTAGTGTAGGACTCTGTCTTTCAGCTTGTTTAAATCTGAAGGCTGCTCATTTTTTCCTCAGACCTGTGGCTCGCTATGTAGTTAAGCTTAGCAATGCAAACTTTGCTTTTCTAAGTACTTTTTGTGATCTTTGTTAGGTGTAATCCATGCACTGCTTTCTGATAACTTCTGGCATTGCATTGAATGGTAATTTGGGGAGGGGGAGTAGCTGTTTTCGGGATGTACTCCATGGTAATCATCGGATGCTAAAAGGGTGCCTTGTAATTCTGCTCTGTGTTTCTTAGGTAGGATGTGATGTCAGTAGTTGAAGAACTCTGTGAACCTTAACGCATTGCACGGAAATTGTATATCTGAAATGTCCAGGGAACAGAGAAACAAATTGTTTTGGAACATAAAATAAGTCTAAGGGAAATAATATAATAATGAAATCATGTAATACAAATATAAATCATATTAATACTGTCTTGAAAAGTGAGTGCATATGGAATATCTTGTCCTTACAGCTTTTTATGTAGGAGAATAATCCTAGTAGTGTATTTGGCAGTGTTCTTAGAAGTTTTTTTCTATTACAGTCCTTTCAACAAACGGCATGTTTTGGGAGCTGTGTTCCCTACATACCTAGTTCTAAAATTTCAGTAACTTTTAGAACTGTATAAATTACCTATTTAGGTGACTGTAACAATTATGTAAGTAAATATTTATAACTGTTTATGCTTAGAGGTATCCAAACTGAGGTACAGAGAAGAGGTAGAATAAAAAATTCCTCATTAGAAATGTTTAGGTTGTCATAAAAATAGCCTGTTTTTCAGAGAAGCTGAGTACAGTACGCTCCCGCTGATACCCATTTGATTTGTCAGAGTCTGCAGTGGTAGTCCCCGGTCTGAGGTCTGGCATTGTCCCTTTACACGTGATCTGCTTTTTCTTGTTACTGAGCTGAACCTCCTTATGGCCAGAATCTGCACAGATTGCTCAGATGAATTTGCTCAGCCTCCAAAGGTGAGTTGCTGGTGAACTTTTGATGAATGCTCAGCAGAGGCCTTGGCAGCCTTCCTCCCTGCATCTGTGGGATGAGTTGAACTTCCAAATCTGCAGGCCTGTAGCTGTGTGTTTTCCAGAACAGGAAGCCTGCTCTGAGGGACTGAAGGAAACCTGGTTGAAGGGGGAGATGTTAGGTTATCGGGTGACAGCGTGTACTGTCAGGCTATTGTGTGATAAGCTTTTGAAGCTGTTCCTGCAAGGCAAGAGGTACATATTTGCAGGGAGTATTAATTGTTCTTTGTCAAGGCAGGTTGAAGCTACCCTTACCTCTTCCGGAACACTGAATTCAAGGGAGTTGCATATTTTAGATAAAGATGTTCTGAGACTATAAATAATAAGCCAGTAGAAATTTGCATGGCCCCTTTTCATGGTTGCTGCTTCTATGCAGGACTATATCACTTTATTTTTTTTAAGCCCTTCTGAAAGTTGTGCTAGACAAACTGTTCAATATGAAGATTTGTTTATCATTCTTTTAATTACAAAGGTGGCTCAACTGTACCTCACATTGTAGTTTAGTGAGAAAGATTTAGTTTCTCACTCCTGAGAATGGGAGGGAAAACAGAATGAAAAGTAGCTACAGTTAGGAAGAGAGATCAGTGCGAAAGACTGGGACACTGCAATAGAAGGGTACAGGAAATGGGTGGGAGTTGAAGTGTGTTTTTCCTAAAATGTAAAATTAATGTAAAAGCTAGCAACTAAGCATTGAAATCTATCGAGAAAATTTGTCCCTCAAAATAATAGGTTACGGACAACAACAACTTTCACTACTATTGCTTACGTTGTTTTCTTTTGTTGATTTATGTGGAGAATGACTGTGGTTCTGTGTGATTTTTCTCTCTCTTAAGTTCTAAGGTGTTTTTCTTTCCTGTTTCCTCTTTGCTGTACGTTTCCTGTAGCTTAAGCGCTCGCAATAATGCTCCAAACAGTTATGAAGTGTCATGTTCTCTCTCTATCCTTGTCAGCTCTTTTCAGAAGTACTTACGTCTCTGTTGGAACTCCATTAACCCACTTCAAAGATGTGATCAAGGTCCGACAAAACATGCCAGCCCTAAAATTATGGTGTGAAGTAATCCATTAACTTTGTTTAGCATTTAAGCAGTTAATTTTGAGATTTAGCTTGCTAAAATATCTGACTATGAGAGATTCTGTAGATATGAGTAAAACTACTTTGCTTTAGTTCTGCAGGTAAAAAAAATAAATTGCTAAGCATTACAGTTGTGGGGGAAAATTCAGATTGTTAACCAATGATAGAAATAATACCTCTTCCAGTCCATAAAGTCTGAAATAGTAATATGTTTATCCCATGAGTACGTAGAGCTCAAATATAGGTAACCAATGTAATTATGCTTTACAGCTGCTGTTTATAATGTAGGCATACTTCTAGATTCCCAAGTGTGGTGCAGAGCAGAAACCTCCAAGCAATGCTGGCTGAGCTGATATGAATGCTTTTAAATAAATGATGAAAAGAGCTAGCTTCAGTCCCGAAAGAATTATCACAGTAGTCCTGCTAATAGTTGAGGAAGCAATGCTAATTTTCCTTCATACTATACTGGCACATCTCTACTGTTTGTAGTCCCAGAACAACTTCAGGCACAGTGTAAGTAATTCTGTTCTGTGCTGTTACATTGATATGCCTTAGGAGCCATAATAAACCAGACCCAACTCAGGGGTGTGCACAGCTAATGTTTGTTAAGGCTTGAATGCTGCCAATTCAGAACTGGAAGTTTAAGAATCAGCTTTTTGAACCTGTAGTCCTATTAGTTACATGGCATAATGTATTTATGTGAATACTCAGTATGAATATTATGGACAGGATCAAAAATTAAGAAAATACTTAGCCTATTGAGTATTAGTGAAACTTAGAGAAGTTATGGGAAAAGGTGAAGAAATTTTGCAAGGTACAATCTATTGTCAGTCACTTAAAAAATGTTTTCAAAAATTCATGTGCCTATGCATCCATGACTGATTTTTCTTGTTTAATACATATAATTTTAAGGATTTTGTATGAGTAGAACTAATCAAGCTTTCTTTCTTACAAACTTATGCTTCACTAATTTCCTGCTTTAGTAACAATTTATACTTTCATTCCCTTCCTTCCCTAGATCCCTGACTGTACTGTCAGCTTCTTTCTATGCCCATCATCTATGGGTTGATCAATGTGTGGCAATTGCTGTGTGGCCAATTCTGACTTAAGCATGGGCATATTAACTTAGGTCTCTCTCTTCTTCCAAATTCAATGAAACTTCTTGTAAATCCATATATTTAGCACTTTTGCCTTTTGTCAGATATGATTAAAATTGGTGGTGAGATAGATTTAGTCCAATCATATCTTATTTTCTCTGGAAAGTTATTAAAATAGCTTAGTTTTCAGACTGGGAAGGAAACCCTTTCTCTCATAATGTGAACAGTTGTAGTGTGTTGCTATTCTGTGTTTTTTGGGTTTGGGATGCTGCATCAATGACTTTATATGTATTGTTCTTCCATCTGGTGGCTTTCTACTTCCTCCTTCCTCTCCACAATCAGCAAAGTAGTTGGAGCCTATTAAATCTTAAGCATGAGTTAAGAATCACACATCACGTCTTTCTATCTGTGTCAAGGAGAACAGCGATCAGTGTTGAGGAACTTGATTAAAAAATTTCTAATAAAATAAATACCAGACTTTCTAGACTTTCAGTGGTAAGATGATGAAGAGAGAGGATGAGAAGGTTAAAAACTGAAGAGAAAGCTTAAAGATGAACCAACCTCCCTGCCCTCCTTCCCCCCCCCCCAAACCATAGAAAAATAAAATTCATATTTATGCAGAGAAAAAATGAGCACACTAAAGTTAAAGACAAAATACTCCTATGATATTCCTTCAGATTGCCAGAAGCACGCCTTTGCATGTGTTTGCTTTGGCTGTTATTGCAGGGAGATATGTCAATGGAAGTGCGCAACCAAAATATTTACCCAAGATGCTGGATGGTGGAAATGAATATTGAAGAAGCTTTTGGCTCTGGCTGCCATCAGGGTGGTTGGTTTTAGGAGGTGACGATGGAGGAATAGGTCAGGGGAGAGGGGAAAGGAAGCTTTGCCACTGAGTACTGTGTGTCCAGGCTTCTCTGTATGGAGTTAAACCAACTCCCTGAAATGTGAGGTTGGGATGAGAGGCTGGGAGGTCATTTCCTCATACCTGCATGAGTCTTGGCTTCCCTGTCCCAGCAGCTGCTGCCACCAGATTCTCTACAGTCTCTTGCCTGTATGCAGGAACTTTTGGAGGTAAGACTCAGTTAAGAGTTATAATAAAGGCAGGGAGTCAAAGACTTTGCTGAAGAAGGTGAAGTTTTCTTAACTAAGTGTGGCTACAGTTCGCAGTCTTTTCATCCTGGATGCTTGCAGCTGAGCTAGGGCAGTGAGCAGTGTGAAGTCAAGAGGGATGTTGGTGAAATGTTTTGGTGGGAGTAGGGAGCACCTACAGAGAGCTGTAAGTGAGAGAAGGTACTGTGTGCATGTGGTTTCTCTAAAAAACAAAAGCCTTTTTAAATGTCGTCTTGTAGCAATTTAGTAGAGGTCCTGGGAAGGTTCTTGGTCCCAGTATGCTAATGCTTTTATAAATCAGTGAGGCAAATGTGATCAGAAGACTTATGTCTAGAAATACCTTATTGATACTTCCTAAACTGTATTGGTTTGACATTTTAAAGAGAATTTATTTTTACTTTCACAGATTAAGCTGCCACCAATGATGGAAATCATAACAGCTGAACAGCTGATGGAATACTTAGGTTAGTAATTACAATATATGCTTTTTCAATTATATTTATTAGTGAGTAGTAGTATAGGAGAACTGTTTTATTTATTTACTCTTTTATTCAGCTTTACTTGAATGCATGCTTCAAGAAGACTACTTAATGGTATTCAGTTACTCATGCTTTTCCTTAACTGCTTTTAGGAGCTTCCTGTTGTGCTTTCCTAAGTGGTTAGTCTAGTGATGCAGTTGATATGGCTTAGTACACCAACACATTGGTAGACTTAAACTTATTAATGTCTCTTACAATGTTGTTTTGTTATAGTTGACAGAATGTACTGTCAGCTATGCCTTCAATTGTCTGCAGTAACTCTAATCATTGATAGTATGACCCAGTTAAAATAACAGGAAAAATTAACTTAGTCGTAACAGTGACTGGGGTCTCATTTGCAGGCACTACTCCATTATCAGATTCAGTCTTCAGCAAAACTGCAGCTGTTTCCATCTGACAAGTCTGTGACTTCAATAGCCCAGAATTATCCAGGTGTTAAAAGTGCAGTTGCAATAGTACTTAA